CCAAACACACACAGCACCCCCAGACACACACACACAAAGTAACCTAGACACACACCTCCACACACAGCACCCCAGACACACACACACACACACAGCACCCTAGATACACACACAGCACCCCAGACACACACAGCACCCCCAGACACACACAGCACCTTAGATACACACAGCACCTCCAGATACACACACAGCACCCCCAAACACACACAGCACCCCCAGACACACACACAGCACCCCCAGACACACACACAGCACCCCAGAGACACACAGCACCCCAGAGACACACACAGCACCCCCAGACACACTCAGCACACCGAGAGACACACATAGCACACATATATATATACACACACACACACACACACACACACTACAGCACCCCTCACACTGCACCACTACACACATTACGCTCCAGATACACGCTAGATCCCTTACCCTAAATGCACTCTTAATCCTCTGCACACACACACACAATCTTCTATACACACTCTGGGTCCTTTACACACTAGATCTCTTACACACACAGTGCACCACCTACACACACACACTACATTCCTTGTAAGGAAACACATACAACATTCTCTAAACACACCCTCTCTACAACCCCTACACACACTACATCACCTATACACACACACACTACTGCCCGTATGCACACACTCGCTACATCCCCTATAACACTATGCCCCCTATACACGCATTCTCTACAGCCCATAGCCACACATATTACACCACACATATTACACCTATTTACACAATACCACACCACACTCTACACACAGGCAATCCCACAAGCAAGCGCCAAACACATGCACCATACACTTTCCTGGCCCTTTTGTCCTCTGGTATCCCACTTGTGGAGACACCAGAGACAATTTAAAAGCAAACACAGTGCAAGCATGTTATTACATTTGCTTGCGCTGCGCAGAACAAATACAGGGCCTTTTTCTAAAGCCAGAGCTCTTCAGCGGGGTTCTGCACATTGAACCAACATGCTCACTTTGAGAGGGGGCGTGCTTGTCATTAGTGATGGCAAAACACACCCTCTCTGGCCCCGCCCCCTTCTTGGGGGGCCGCTCTAATTGAAAAATGCCCGGGCCTAATTTTTTTCCCAGTCCGGCCCTGCGACCACTGATAGGAGACGCGGAAGGTATTAAACTGATAAAAATAGTACTAAACACACCACTCCTATCTGGTGTCACATTAGCTTGACCGCGCAGTGCCCCAAATTTGCAGTAAGAGGACCGACCAAGCCTCTTCTTCCATCTCCCTGTTACAAAAATCAATGCCGTGTACACGTCCACTGATAGGAGACGCGGAAGGTATTAAACTGATCAGAACAATACTAAACACACCACTCCTTTTTTTTGGTGAGGCTTTACAGGACAGAGTGCTTCTCCACGGGACATGTTAACTCACGGGCAGCTGGCTCATCAAGGAACCACAGCAGCTTTCCATGTACAGGTAAGACACGTGCAGCCGGTAAGGGTTCAGGCTCTTCTTCCTGGAGGATACGCTGCAAGCCTGTTGAACGAGGTGACCTTGCTCGGGTCCCAGGTGTACGGTTCCTAAAATGGCTGCCATATACACGTCCACTGATAGGAGACGCGGAAGGTATTAAACTGATCAGAACAATACTAAACACACCACAAATAAGGTTTCTCTCCTGTATGGCTCCTCAAATGATGCTTAAGATTAGAAGCGGCTGAAAAGCATTTCTCACACTCCGAACAAAAATATATTTTTTTAACATTCTCTCCACTTTGAACGAAATGACGTTTGGGAAGAGATTAACATAATTAAACACAGGCAGTAAAAATACAGTTTTTAGCCATACCCTGTAACTTTAAAACTACACATCCCATCTTCATAATTACATATTTGGAATCAGCACACTTAAAACATAAACATAACCAAAAATCAGCCAAATCCATCCAGGGGTTAAAAAGTTAGCTGGAGGTCCCTTTATGACCGACCGCAAGCACATTTTCCTGCCCAAAACAGTTCCATAGATTTGGGCTGTGAGGTCGGTCTATTTCAGGCTGAAAAAACGACTAAGTCCCATCGCGAATGGGACTTAGTCTCTGCAGCTGAAATAAGGCTGAAAAAACGGCTGAAAAAAAGACTAAGTCCCATCGCCGAATGGGACTTAGTCTCTGCAGCTGAAATAATTTCCCATTTACTGAACCAAGTGGGAAATAGCAAGGCAGGCACAAAGGGTTTGCACCAGGTCTGGGGACACAGGGGACACCGTCTTAAAGGGGCCGTGTCCCCAACAAGTCTGGGGACACGGCCTTAAAGGGGCAGTGTCCCAATCTTCCTGATGTCCCAAAAAAGGTGTTTAAAGGGCAGCACCAGTCACATAAAGAGTCCATAAGCCCCAATATGCCCACCGACAGTCTTAAAGGGCCATACACACCAAATAAAAGTGCATACATTTTCACAATCTCCCAGGGGCCATAGTTATGCGGGAGGAGGCTGGCAAAGAGGCTTCTCCACAACCCAGGGAAACAGGGCAATTTGCCATTTAAAGGGCCCGTTACAAATAGCAGTTTGTAACAAGGTGACAATCCATATCTGCCAAGTGACCCGATGTAGGGGGAACAGTCCCTATTCTGCTCTGTGTCAGTGTGTATCATGGTCTCTGAGGACAGGTGTCAATCCATATCTGCCAAGTGACCCTATGCAGGAGAACAGTCTCTATTCTGCTCTGTGTCAGTGTGTATCATGGTCTCTGAGGACAGGTGTCAATCCATATCTGCCAAGTGACCCTATGTAGGAGGAACAGTCCCTATTCTGCTCTGTGTCAGTTTGTATCAGGGATCCTTAGGACAGGTGTCAATCCATATCTGCCAAGTGACCCGATGTAGGGGGAACAGTCCCTATTCTGCTCTGTGTCCGTGTGCATCAGGGGCTCTGAGGACAGGTGTCAATCCATATGTCAAAGGTGTCAATATGTCATATGTCAGGTGTCAATCCATATTGATTGTGATTTAGGAATGTTAGGTGATTTCTGCCCTTTATGGATTAAAACCAGACTCTGTATCAGCTGTGTAATTTTCCATGGGAGTTTTGCCATGGATCCCCCTCCGGCATGCCACAGTCCAGGTGTTAGTCCCCTTGAAACAACTTTTCCATCCCTATTGTGGCCAGAAAGAGTCCCTGTGTGTTTTAAAATTCGCCTCCCCATTGAAGTCAATGGCGTTTCAGGCGGTTCGCCGGTTCGCGAACATTTGCGGAAGTTCGCGTTCGCCGTTCGCGAACCGAAAATTTCGGGTTCGCGACATCACTAATTATGACAAACATTGCTTTTAATTAAGACTTTAAGTAATTCACTAGAATTTTTGTTAACTTGTATGACTATCCTGATTCGAAGAATATATATATATATATTTTTTTTTTTTTTCTGCCAGGAGAAATTAAAGGAATCCTATTTTAGCATATTATTGCTTCAAGGTACTCTCCAGACCCCTAAAAGCAATTCAGTTTGCTGAAAAGCTTTCTGTGAAGTATCTAGTTACACACCCTGGCCTTCAAGCAGATAACAGATCCGGTTACTAGCTGGTTTATTTAATGTAGTGGAGCTCAAGAGGCAGCAATTGCCCAGCACACCTTCCTAGCAAAGACTACTAATTAAGCTGCATTGGGAACTCTGTGATTGGACAGCCACAGAAAGTATGGGCTGGGGAGGTCTTGTGAAGGCAGCAGAAAAGAGAACTGAAGTTTTTGCAAGCAGTTTTTAGATAAATAGTTAAATGCATGCATGTTATAAGTTGGTGCATATCCATTCAAGAATGATTTTATTTATTTGTATTTTGGCAGTGGAGGGTCCCTTTAAGGATTATTTCATATTAATGAGGTGACATTAGTGTTGTCTTTGTTACACCAGCAGAATGGAAATGTCCCACAGCATGGCTGTAACCATGGCTTCCACCTGTTGTTTGAAAGTGACAACTGTTGTGGTACAGTACTAATGGTTTTTTGATGTTCAGCTACTGCTAGGTCAATCTTACTAATCACTGCTTCAAAATGTGTATCCAAAGGCTGCAGTTGTTTGGATTCTGAAGGGTCTTCTGACAGATTAAATAACAACGGAGGATTATGAAGCATAACGTGTTCCCCTTCACATTTACAAAGTATTGTATCATAGCATCCCACTGCACCTTCTGGATGAAAGATTGGTGTCATATAATGAGCTTTCCAAATGGTGCCACCTGAAAAACAGGCAAACAAAGGTCTTAGGAAATCATGTGTTACATATACAATAAAGGTTGATCATTTTGGAATTTCAATATTTGAACATTATAGCTGTTCATAAATCTACCCTGGAACATTAAGCAATTCATCAACACCATGTCAGAACAGTGAAGGTACCAAACTCCTTTTAGCTTGGATTGTGCTATTTTTACTATTGGGTTTAGCTTGTTAAGATTTGTTAAATTTCACTGTCCACGCTCTTCTGCTTGTGATAACAAGGATATCTACCTCACATTTTTATTTATTTGTATTTTGGCAGTGGAGGGTCCCTTTAAGGAATATTTCATATTAGTGAGGTGACATTAGTGTTGTCTTTGTCACCACAGCAGAATGGAAATGTCCCACAGCATGGCTGTAACCATGGCTTCCACCTGTTGTTTGAAAGTGACAACTGTTGTGGTACAGTACTAATGGTTTTCTACCTCACATGACCTGATGTCACCAGGACAAAGAGCTTGGCACAGCTTTAGTTCAATGTATCTGGATGAGTGAGGATAGCTTATTAAGTGTTCTTGCATAGCAAGACCACTTACTATTATCTCACATATATATTATTCTTATTATAGCCAAATTTACCACCCTAACTCCTCCCACAGTTTTTACACTACATAGACAGTAATATACCGAAATGTGCGGATTGTTCCCGATTGGTGTGCTATTACTTTGTGGAACGTTTCGCCGATTGGTTCACAAAATATCGTTGTTTTTGTGGCGAAATTGGTCCCATAGGAATGAATGGCAAAATGTTCAAAACTAGGGGGAGCTGACAAAAGCTAGAGTGTGAGCTGAAAAATCAGGACATGATTTCTAAACTGCCACCACTCCCTCATTTTCAAGCATAAATCTTATATCAAAACTATCAACTATCCCTGCTGCCACTAAACATGTCCATGGCTAAGCCATAGTCCTGACAGTTTTCACAATATGACCATTTGTTTGCAACTCATGCCGTCCATTGACATTCATTGAAACTCCACTCATGCCACCTCAAATTTGAAGGGCAATATCTAAACTGCGACTGTGCCTTCATTTTTAATATTTCAGAGACATACTATGCATCGAAATGTAGGTCTGGGTCTTGTGATTCTCACAATATAAAGCTCTTCGCTGTAGGATTTATAGTTTTTAAAATACGACCGTTTGAAGATGGCAACCGCCAGTGAAGTGAGCAGTTTGTTTTTAACCGCTCTTCTCTGCCATATTTGAAATCTATTAGTTCCTGTTGGCAGTTTGTGGTATGTTCGAGGGATTTGAAATGGCGGCTGCAGAAACCCTGTGTAACAAGACTGCAATATGAAGATGCTGTTATATATGTATTAATAAAGTGAGTACTTCATTATACAGGAATTATTGACTGATTTGTACAAAACATCACAGTGCAAGCAGGGATAGCTGAACGTTTTGATATAAATTGGTACATTTATATCCCTACATGGCAAGACCACTTGTAGTGTAAAAAATGTGGTTTGTTTTTAACCGCTCTTCTCTGCCCTATTTGAAATCTATTAGTTCCTGTTGGCAGTTGGTGGAATGTTCGAGGGATCTGAAAGCTCTTCTCTGCCCTTGCTGTAGAGTGAGAGAACCACACTCCAACCTTTCCACAGTTACTCCAGCCACTCCACCCAGTTACTCTGCCCACTCCAGTTGTAGACTACTGGTGGAGGCAAGAACACTTCACATAATTTCCCCAGAAATTGTAGCTTTTCTAGTTCAGATAAGCTTTATCAAAAATATAGGCATTGAACGGGTGAGCAGTCTTTGGAATTCCATATGTTGTGGACTAAATCTCCCCAGATGCTGTGCCAGTATTATGGGTGTTATAGCTTTAATGGGGGATGTATTCAACAACATCTGGAGTGCCACAGGTTACCTACCCACTGTCAAAACCCACTAAGTTTTCTTAATAATGCAGGGTTTAAATTGAGTCCAGTGCTTATTAGTACATTTATGCAGTAATTGCTTCTAGTTGTAAGAAGTTAAAGGGTTACTTCAATGATTTGAAGTGATCATGGTGCATGGAGTCGGTCTTTGAAATTGCTAAACATATGGAGATTTAAAAAAAAAAATGGAGATTAACCCCTCTGATGCCGTATATTGGTCAATGATCAGATTAATAGATTTTATCCTGTGTAGTATATGATTTAAACAAAAACTTTGTATTAGAATGCTGATTTAGTTTTTCATACTTACTGTCTTTTTGGTGCCAGCGAACAGCATGTAAATTTCTTCCACAATAATGAAACAAAAACTCATGTTCTGAGTGAGTTGCTTGATTTTTTAGTAACGGGACTAGACTCCGACCATCTATTATCCTGTTAGTAAGAAAGTAAAGTGAAAGTATCTTTATGTTTGTTATATGAAAATGGTCATGGGTCGTCTCCCAAACACTCTTCTGGGGCAATACTTTCATACCTTTTTGCTGTCAATGCACACACAAATCATAAAGATGTCTGATGTCCTGCACCCCTAGAAGAAACTGTATTTACTTGTCATTTGGTAATTCTCCACCTCCAAGCTGCACCACAGTGGGATAAATATCCATTAGACTTGTTGGTTCATCAATTATCGTGTCAGGACGAACGACATTTGTCCATCGGATTATTCCTGGAACTCGAATGCCACCTTCCCAACCAGCCATGCCTTTTCCACCTAAGTTGGATTCAGAAAAAAAAAAGCCATTGCCTAACTATATATATATAAATACACACACACACACACACACACACACTCTCACTCTTTCTCTTTTTGGAAAATATTTTATTATCTCTGTCATTTCTTCAGTGTTGACACATGAAAACTCTGCTACAATGTAAAGTAGCAAGTGTACAGCCTGTATAAAAGTGTAAATTTGCTGTCCCCTCAAAATAACAACACACAGCCATTAATGTCTAAACCATTGGAAACAAAAGTAAGTACACCCCTAAGTGGAAATGTCCAAATTGGGCCCAATTAGCCATTTTTCCTCCCCAGTGTCATGTGACTCGTTAGTGTTACAAGGTCTCAGGTGTGAATAGGGAGCAGGTGTGTTAAATTTGGTGTTATCGCTCTCACACTCATACTGGTCACTGGAAGTAAAACATGGCATCTCATGGCAAAGAACTTTCTGAGGAGCTGAAAAAAAGAATTGTTGCTCTACATAAAGATGGCCTAGGCTATAAGAAGATTGCCAAGGCCCTGAAACTGAGCTGCAGCACGGTGAGCAAGACCATACAGCAGTTTCACAGCACAGGTTCTACTCAGAACAGGCCTCGTCATGGTCGACCAAAGAAGTTAAGTGCACGTGCTCAGCGTCATATCCAGAGGTTGTCTTTGGGAAATAGACATATGAGTGCTGCCAGCATTGCTGCAGAGGTTGAAGAGGTGGGAGGGAGGCAGCCTGTCAGTGCTCAGATCATACTAAACAGCGATTTAAAAATCTCACAAATTGTAATAGTTTTATTTAAAAACAACTCACCTAGTCAAAAAATAATGGGGGTTTAGTTACAGTATATGATCATACATTGCATAAGCCTGCCACAACGTCAATGTACCCTATTCTTGGCAGGTCCTACTCTAGCAGTCTAAAGTCTGCTCTTATGAGATGAATCCACTTACTTGGGAAATACGTCCTCCTGGGACTCTCTGCAGGTCTGTGAGACTTGAAATCGTTGTTTAGTGAATGAGCGAGTGCATTGAATTTTGTGTGTTGTGTGGATTGGCCCCAGCAGCACCCTATGGTGTATGCCTGTTCAGGTGATTGCAGCCCTCTTGGTGTTATATATATATATATATATATATATATATATATATATATATATAATGATAATAAGATCCTAACAAACATATTTTGTTACTCCTTATGTTGCTAGTTTTTTGAACTAATACAACATATGCACAAAGTAGTGAAATGCAGCACATACAGAGAGGTTAATCCCTCTTCTGCCGAAGGTGTAATTCCCTCTTCAGTACCATCGCTTGGCCATCATTAGCCAGCCTGGAACAAGAAATCAGGGATGGCTAATGTCAATTCTGTTCAAATTTGGCATCCATTGACTGCAAGCACAGCATGCTGGTGATGGCCAGTAGTGGCACAGCCTCCCCATCTGTGCCGCACATGTCCTCCCCTCATCCCACCGTCTCCCGCACATGAGGTCCACGTCCATTTAAGTGGATATTAAAAGACAATTAAAGCACTTGGAGAGGTATTCTGTAAATGTAGAGTTAAGGGAGGGCCAGTAGGATAATACATGATGAATATAATGATCTAGATCAGCGGTTCTCAACCTATGGGTCGCGACCCCTTTGGGGGTTGAACGACCCTTTCACAGGGGTCGTCTAAGACCCATAAGCGTGCGCAAAAGATCTCCCTCATCGGCCCACAGGCAGGGGGGGAGGCAGGAGGGTAGCCAGGAGCTCTAGCCAGCAGCTCCGCCGGGTTCCTCTCGTGAGGTCGGAGCATTGCCGCTGCAGCGTAAATTAAATAAAAGCTAAAGTAAATTAAATGAGTAATTGCAGATAAAAATGGAGTTTGCTGGGTTGAATGGTGAATTTAATTTTAGGATACATTGACTGTGAAAACTGAGTTGCTATGTAGAAGGGGGAAGTGAATTTAGGGAGCACAATTTATTTTTTAATGTAGCAGAACATGTCAGGCTTTTTATTCCATCACTGCAATTAGTGCATGAAACAGAAATGTTTAGCTGAAATGTTTAGATAAAACAGTAATACACTTCTTGTAAAATGTGGTCTGTAACTGATATTTTATTCATGCAGGATACGGATTATGAATTTATGAAAGAGGGAGAGGGTGGAAGAATCAATAAGGAGTCTGTGGGCTAAGAAGGTAGGGCATGAACCCAGGAGTAAGTAACTTACTCAAATATCCCCTTACTCAAGTAACCCAAGTATGTTGATAAAACGTAACTTTTATTGCAACAGTCAGTAAAATTGGTTATAGTATGGCCAGGAGGTGGCAGTATAACCACACTAGAATAAATAAAAAATAAAAATCTGACTAAATGTTGCTAAGTGATTAATCACACAATATATACAATGATAAACATGGGCAAAAAAGAGGGGGGAGAGAGAAAAAAAAATAGAAAATATACATATGTACATATGGTGGTAACGCTAGAGCTGAGTTGCAACAGTAGAGTAAGAGGTGCCACTATAAAAATATGTAATACCGTGTTAGTTGCTATGAGTGCCAGGGGAAGCCCTCGGCTAAACAGTGCTCAAGCTCTATGTGTGGCTACAAGAGGTATGTACACAAGAGTCCTAAAAAGGACTGAGTGGTATAAATAAACAAATGAAGCACTAATATGCTATAGTAAACAGATGAGATGGTGGTAGTGTCAGGGTAGGAAGGGGTGCTACCCTAAGACAGCAATATCCCTTCAAGAGCAGGAACCCAATATGCAGAGAAAATGACAATCACAAGGAATGAGTGTAAAAATATGAATATTACGAAATAAACAAATATGATACAAGATAACAAAATACAGTATAACTACAATGCCAATATAAAACAAACAGTAGACCTAGGTCTAGCACAGGAGGTGCTAGATATTGAAACTATTCTGTGCCTTCAAGGGCACCTATTATAGTTAAAGTTTAAAGTTAACTTGCTGTAGCTAGTAGAGCAATATATGTTGGTCTGTGTGCTCGGGTTCGCCTGCGTCTGTAGGATACAATTGTCGGAGGTCTGTTACACATGCAGTTAGCACGGAGAGATGAATCAGAGAATCTGCTTTCGGTCTGCAGGTTAGCTACAAGTACTGGATGAAGCCTTGACACGCGTTTTGTCGGAAGGGCGGGCATATTCGGGCTAGAAACTTTGTTTCCGTTTATGAATTTATGAGTTTCAAAAATTAATTATGCTTTCAAAGTAAAGCCCTAGTTGTCCTTTGAAAACTGTTTATAACATATGTAGGTGTAGTAAATAATTAATAAAAAAAAGGAATGTAATGTTGAATAAACACATCTTAAATAAAATGCAATAATTGATCTGATCCATTATGTGTTGCAGTGCTAAAAATCATTTTTTTGTATTGTTTTTATTTTACCTTTATAAATTCCATTCCATCCACCAACTTGGGTGTTTACATATGTGACCTCCAAGTGTCCTCCATGATCTGAGGTAAAGTAAATCAGGGTGTTGTTTTTCAGTCCTGTATTGTCAATGGCATCCACTATTGAACCTGGGAATATAGAGGTAAAATTACATCAATAAACTGCCTATTATTATTGGCATTTATATAGCACCAACTTATTAAACAGCGTTTTACAATATTATAATCTGGGAACTTTAACAACAAATGATACCATTACAAATTATTACAGAAACAATAGGTAGATAAGGACCCTTCTTGAAAAAGCTTACAATCTATATAAGAAGGGAAATATTTTGTTAGCTCACATTAGGCTCATTCTACCAATGTGGAATTGTTAGAATGCCCCTGCCTACCTAGCAATTGACACATCTTCTAATAGCTATTTCCACCATGATAAGGTACCATGTCACAAAGCACACATCTTATCAAGCTGTTTCCACATCATGACAATGAGTTCAGTGTACTCCAAAACACACTTCAATAGAGCACTTTAGGGATTCACTGCATGAATGTGCAGCCAACAAATCTACAATTGCTAAACAATGTTTTCAAAAGTGTTAATCCATATCAAATAATCCAGATAATTGCTCTGGAGACAAAGAAGGTACTAACATATTTTATATTGTCTTATGTCATTAACTACTTGTACTATGCCATGCCGCACTAAGTAGGCTTTACGGTGGCATAGTAATGGTTTGCAGCCCTGGCAATCCCAATCAGGGGGACATACTGACAACCCAGGCATTTGCTCTGCAGGCAGTGTTTCATTGTTAATGTATTTTATATTAAAGAAACACTATAGTCACCAAAACAACTTTAACTTAATAAAGCAGTTTTGGTGTGTAGATCATGCCCCTGCAGTCTCACGGCCCAATAATCTGACATTTAGGAGTTAAATCACTTTGTTTATATAGCTCAAGTTACACCTCCATACTTTTTACTTTCACAGGCTTCCTAAACACCAATCTGTTTAATCTAGAATTTCACATCTCCTGCTCTGATATTAGCAGCTTAAACCCACCACTCCTGTGTGTGTGATTAAAGTTCAATTTACAGAGCAGGAGATAAAAACTTCTAAAGCAAATTAACATGAGATTGAAAAGAAAACAATTGTGTTTTCATGTAGGCTGTGTCATGGCTGCATAAACAGAAACAAAAGTAAATTGCAGGAGCATTATCTATACACCCAAACTATTCCTCCAAACATACCGATTTCAGCGGGATAGTCCCAATTTTCAGCTCCTGTCCTGCCTTAGTTCCCAGTTGTCCAGCTTTTGGGGACACAAGAGAACTGTACCCAGCAATCGAGAGCAACATAAAACGTACTCGTGCAGGGAGCACTGATGGACAGGCAGCCTGGAGTGTGTTCATATCAGGCTGACCTGCCATTAATCCAGGAAGACACACCTCATTCTAGGTGTGCCTGTCCCCTTTGGGGGTGGAGCCAGTGACACAAATGCATCACTGAATCACCCCCTTTAGTCCCTCCCACCAGCATCCTGATTCTCAGGACGCCAGAGTTGGGAAGTATGACCAAACTGCTTAATTAAGCTAAAGTTGTTTTGATGCCTGTAGTATTACTTTAAATCACATGTAAATGTAGACACTGATTTTTGTTCTTAGCTCAAAAGCCACTGCATGATACCAATAATAAATAGTTGCTGATCCCTCTATCAACCTCTGAGATTGCAAACTTTAAAATAAAACTGAACTAGTAACTTGACTAGGGTTTAATTCAGCACACAACTATGTAATCTAAAATCATTTTTTGTTGTTGTTGTTAAACAATGCTTTTAAAACTTGTATTTTATTGTCACTCACCAACCATAAAGTCCATTTCCTCCACATTGTCACCATATATTCCATGTCTGCTGTTTCCAATAAATCGTTTTGTGGAAACTAGCGGAGTGTGAACGTGTAAGAAAGACACAAAAAGCAAAAAAGGAATATTCTTATTTCTGTAAGGAAATTAAAAACAAATAAGAACATTGTTCATTTTAATAGTCTGTATTAGCAAGTGATTGCTAAGATTACTCTAGAAACTGAAGAGGGGTAACACATACTTTCTATCTTAGGTTTGATTGATACATTATGAAATTGACACCTTTAAAGCAGACAGTAACTACAATATAGCCATTCTATATTTTTTTTTAATGTCTTTGGCATTTTTTGTCATTTAGACCAAGGGACTTATAGGTGGTTCCAGCCCCTATAATTAGTAAAAGGAGTATAACAAAGGCAAGTCTGTTATATATGGTTGAGGTCAGACTTGGGATCGACAATCCCGGACAAATGAACATACAAACAGATACATAATCTAAAAAATTTGCAGATGAATACTCCCAAACACACTTATACTTACTCCAACAGTAATACACATGCACATGGATTCACCCTTTCAGATACATATTCACAAAAGAACACAACGATAAACATCTAGAAACACACTACCGGACAGATAAAAATTCAAAAACACAGTTGTAGAGTATACATTGTAATGCAGGTTGTGCGGAAAAGGCAGACAATGCAAGTAATATGCAAATATCCTGGCTTATCACTTTGCCCCTTTTCTTTTCAAACTCCTATACACCTTTACTTCAAGAGAAAACACTGATTGGGGTGCCAAACACCCCATGTCTTCTTCCATTGACCTTTGGTGGCAGTGTCATATAGTAACGCATTTCAACAAACTTTGAAGGTTAATTCTATGCTTTTGTTCCTGCCACTGAAATTAACACAGCACAGGGCACAGGGGGTTGAAGCAACACATACAGAGTCAATCCCTTTAGTCTTTTAATAATCTTATCCTCAATGATTAGTTGTACTATGAAGACAAACCAGTGCTTCAAATAGCATAGTGAGTGTAGTAACAGGTTTAGATTTGGAAGAAAAGTATCATCTACCAAACATGCTGGTCCTCACACATTACAATATACTACATGCACGTCAGTCACAACATTAAGACCATCTGCCTAATATCGTATAGGCCCCCCTCATGCTGCTAAATCAACTCTGATGTGTAGAGCTATGGACTCCACTAGAACTCTGAACATGTCCTCAGTGCTGGTGCAAGGATTTTTGCCGCCCCAGGCAAAGATCCATTTTGCCGCCCCTTCATGTCACTCACTCACTCACTGACACACACACACACACACACACACAGAAACTCACTGACAGACATACACACACACACACACTGACAGACATACACGGGCACTCACTGACAGACACACACACACAGAAACTCACTGACAGACATTCACTCACTGACACACGCACACACACACACACACACAGAAACTCACTGACAGACATACACACACACTCACTCACTGACACACACAGACACTCACTGGCAGACATTTACTCACTCAGAACATGTAATGTCGTGTGATACACAGGGATCTAATCACTAATCTAGAAATTCGAACAAGATGACAGTTCTAAAATGTAGGCCAAATTAGTCAATGACAGCGCTGTAAATTGTAGGCCAAATTAGTCAAGGGAAAATTACAAATTTGTAAAAAAATTTTAGCGCTGCCATTTTTACTTTGCAATTCTGTTGTCATCATTTAAGTCCCTGTGGATTTTTCTTGAGTTTAGATTAGCTTGCTATATTTTTTAATTAACATTTTAAAAATCAAGGCTATGTTTGTATAATATAGTTTGAGCAAAAATGTGTATTTTATATCTAATTTTTTCAATTACTAGACAGACACATTCACTGACAGACATATACTCACTCACTGACAGACACACATACACACACACACAGACACTCACTGACAGACATACACTCACTGACAGACACACACACTGACAGACATACACTCACACAGACACTCACTGACAGACACACAAACACACAGACATTCACTGATAGACATACACTCACACAGACACTCACTCACTGACAAACACTCACCTCCCTGGGGGCCAGTGTGGAGCAGCTCCTCAATCCTCTCACCCGCCGTTTAGTGTGCTGGGGCCAGAATTACATCATATTCTGGCTCCTGGCATCACAGAGGGATGCCTGCTCCATCCCCCTCTCCTCCGGTCACCGTCATTTGATATCATCAAGGCTACCAACCTGCCATACTGTGACAGGGCTCCTCTGGGCGCCTGGAGGAGCGGCCTGGCGCTGAGGGGGGCGGCTCTAGAGACCCCATCAGGAAATATCTCGGTGTGCGCCCCCAGCAGGCTGGCGCCCTAGGCAAACGCATAGTTCGCCTAACGGTGTAGCCGGCCCTGCGTTTCCTGTGGTATCTGGAACCAAGACATTAGCAGTAGATTCGTTGTCCTGCAAGTAATGAGGTGGGAAATCCATTGGATTTGTTTCTCTAGCACATCCCACAGATGTTTAATCTGATTAAGATCTGGAGAATTTGGAGGCCAAGGCAACACATGGAACTCTTTGTTATGTTCCTCAAACTATACCTGAACAATTTTTGCAGTGTGGCAGAGTGCATTATCCTGCTGAAAGCAGCCACAGCAATTAGGGAACACCATTACCTTGAAGGGGTGTATGTGGACTGCATCAATTTCTAGGTCGGTGGTATGTGTCAAGGTAACATCCACATGTATGCCAGGCAGTGGTGTATCCTGGTTTTGTGCTGCCCTAGGCAGGACAAAACTCAGGCGCCCCCCTCCCCCCGCGCCACCCCCACTCAACCCTTCCCCCCGCCCCACCTTCTAAATACACACACACAGTCAGACACACACACACAGTCAGACACATACACAGACAAACACAGTCAGACACAAACACACACACACAGTCAGAGACACACACAGTCAGACACACACACACACAGTCAGACACACACACACACACACACAGTCAGACACAAACACACACACACACACACACACACACACACAGTCAGACACACACACACACACACAGTCAGACACAAACACAGACACAAACACACACAGTCAGACACACACACACTCACAAACACACAACACAGACACAAACACACACAGTCAGACACAAACACACACACACAGTCAGACACAAACACACACACACAGTCAGACACATACACAGACACAAACACAGTCAGACACAAACACACACACATACACAGTCAGACACACACTCACAAACACAGACACAAACACACACAGTCAGACACAAACACACACACAGTCAGACACAAACACAGTCAGACACACACACACATTAACTTTTTTTTTTTTTTTAATTTAAATCCCCCCCCAACCTCCTTACCTTTGGGAGTGCTGGGGGGGGTCTCTCTCCCTGGTGGTCCAGTGGCTGCCGGTCGGGCGGGTGGCTGGCGAGAGAGCACTTCCTATGAGCTGACTGCTCAGCTCCCTCGCGCGCCGGCTGCAGAGTGAGGCTGGGAGCCGGAAGATGACGTCATATTCCGGCTCCCAGCCTCACTTTGCGGTGCGCGAGGGAGCTGAGCAGACAGCTCATAGGAAGTGCTCCCTCGCCAGCCGCCCGCCTGCCAGCGCCGCCCGCCCGCTCGGGATGTCAGTTAGCCGCGAGGCTAACTAGGCATTTGGGGGCGGCGTTTTTTGCCGCCCCCTGAAAAATGCCGCCCAAGGCAAATGCCTTGTTTGCCTCGCGGCTAATACGCCCCTGATGCCAGGACCCAAAGTTTGTTAGCAGAACTTTGCCCAGAGGATAACTCTGCCTCCACTGGTCTGTCTGCTTACTGTTGTACATTCTGCTACCATCTTTTAACCAGGAAAACAATGTACATGACCACCAGATCTAAAAGAAAACACGATTAATCAGACCAGGCAATCTTCTTCCATTGCGCCATGGTCCAGTTCTGATGCTCATACCACTAGTAAAGGCTTTTTTTGGCATGGGACAGGGATCATCATGTGCACTCTGACAGGTCTGTCGCTATGTAAACCACTGCACAGAATACTACAGTGCACTGTGTTCTGACACCTTTCTATACTTTGTAATGAAGTATGCGTTTTTCATCAATTTGATCTACAGTAGCTTTTCTGTGTGATTGGTTGTCATTCCTTGCACCCTTATTGTTAGGTACTAAGTATTGCATTTTTGTAACACCTCCACAAGACTTGCCATTTTGCCATTACAAATTAACAAATGTAAAATTAAGTGTATACTTTGTAATACAGTATACATTTTTCAGCATTATGCTATTCAGCAATTTGAGCTAGAGTAGCTTTTCTATGTGATTGGTTGTCCTTCCTTGTACCCTTTTTGTGAGTTAATAACTATTGCATATCTGGAACACTCTACAAGACTTACCATGAAGTTCTATGAGTGTGTTCTTCACTTTGGCTGAGATCATGGAATCAGGAAATATTTTTCCTGTCTTGCTGGTCGCAGCCCCAGCTGATAGCAGCCCCATGGCAGACGGGCTGCATGTTTGACATGCCTGATTCTTTATTGTAATCTATCTCTCTCTAGAGTTTACATTAAGGTATATTCATTAAACTGTTATTATTGAGATGACAACACAATTGCAGTTGACAATGGAATGCTTTGCAATTTCATCTTTTGTGAATAAACCCATTGAGAACCCTCAGGCACTGGTACTGGTTCTAGGAAAAAGACAACAAAATAGAAGCCTAAGTCCACTTACATTGCGTCACTCAAAATAGGAAGCAATGACTTTATAATTATACCTAATTTGTCAGAATATTGTTACTATACCTTTCAATGAATTGATGCAATTCTTGCAATATTTCATGGGTTGTCCTTTGTATATTCATTGGCTGCTGTACTATTTCATGATTTCTCATGACTATGCAGTTCCAGTAATGAGTAAATCCTAAAGGTATATACCAGCTAAGGAAATACAAGAGGCTAAATAATACACAACAAATCATTAACTTTAGTGGCCTGATTCCCAGGTTAGTATATTTAACTGTTATTAAAGTTACTGCTGTGATTGCTAGAACTTGACTGTATAAGCTAAGGTGAGATGGAGAATGTGCATAAAATGTTTTACGGAATTCTGTTTGACATTCTCGGAAAAGCGTAAATGGCATGCCATAAAAATAATTAAAACCATGGCTTAGAGGATGATGACAGTGATCACCGCGTGTTTCACAGTTCAGACCTTGATGCCATTTTCCTGAAATATAAATAAAAAAAACAAATGAAATATACGAAATGGTAATAAAATTTACAAATGTAAAATTAAGTGTATACTTTGTAATGAAGCTGTGATTCGCTTACTGTATCAGTTTATGAAAATAGCAATCATAAACACATTCTAAACAAAAAAATGTATGTACAAAAAGAAAAAAAAAATCAAACCTAGGCAAAGATAATTTGTTAAATTGATTGTAGGACAGAGATAATTTGCCTCCAGTGATTAAAATTAGATCTGTATAGAGGATATGTTATGTATATGCAAACTGTAAGAATTATCCGGGCATGGTCTGCTTGCAAACAATGGAGAAAAAAACATTTCAGAAATTTTTACTTTTAGCAAACTGTCTATTCATTTTTGGATGTTGCCGGGTGGCCTTAGGCAGGAGAAATACATTGGACATTTCAGTACTGAATTAACCAATATATGAGACACTGTTTGAAATAAAAGGGGAATTTCCTATGATTTTGTGTTTTGTTTTTTAGATCTAGCTCTGTTCTAAATATTAACCAGGATTACTTGTCAATTTTCGGTAGAATGGAATTAAGATTGGCATATTTGGATTGGCACAGTATTAAGTTAGCAAAGATATGAGACACTGTTTGAAACAAAAGGGGAGTTTACTATCTTTTTGTGTCTTGTTTGTAGACCTACCTCTGTTCTAAATATTAACCAGGGTTACTTAGCTGTTGTCTATTTTTTGGTAGAATGGAATTAGGATTGACATTTTTAGATTGATGCAAGCTGCCTGATATTAGTGGTTGATTTTACTCACCTTTCTCACCACGGCTGACCTTCATGACTGATATCAATCTTGATGATCTCAGCCAATCCAATGCTTTCCCATAGGCAGCTATTACACGTGTGGAGAAATGCAGTGCTGCGTCAATCATCATCTCCTCATCTCTATTAGGAACGTTCAGCGCCTCCATGCAGAGCTTAGAAAGCTTGCATGTAGGCAACCATGAACTAGGAAGCACTGCTAGTGTCTGTCTAAGTGACTGTCACTTGATGTGTTACTAGACAGCAATGTAAACACTGCTTTTTCCTTGAAAAGGCAGTGTTTACATTGAAAAGCCTGCAGGGGCAGGCTATATACACCAGAATCACTACATTAAACTGTAGTGGTTCTGGTGACTATCGTGTCCCTTTAAAAAAAACAATTGTTGTTGCTTACAAAGCTGGCTCTTTTTTTTTTTTTTTTTCCTGGCTTCTAGATTCAAAGCAAATTTGTCAAGCCCTGCTTTAGTTAAAGCACTGTTTATTAGAAGTCAGTTGTTTACCTATGATTCCAGTAGAATATCCATTTGCTTGTAGTATTTTTGCAAAAGTTGTTTCATTGGGAGGAAGTCCACCAGATGCACTTAGACACATTAAAGCACGGCCTGCACCAGAAAAATCCATCCCTAACAATGTAGAATAACTGTTAATACATCTCTAGCATAAGAAAACAGACAAATTCAGTGATTGCACTCCGAATAGTAGACGCGGCTATACAAAATTATGCTTACTGTATCTCCCAGTACATACCATCATGTAGCCACTGCTATTAGGTATGTAAAGTGCTATATTTGTTGATTTGTGATGCATAGATTATCAAATAAAATCCTGTGGATTTCTGAGAAATTAGAAATGTAATGTGTGCCTACCATATGCTAATAGATTTCACCAAATGTTATAGATATAGAGAATCCAAGGCAGGTTAAATGATCACATAGAACAAAGATTAAAACACAGTGATATATAGTTATACATACAGGTATGCATATATTTAACAAATATGTTACATTTTTGAACTTAAAGCAGCACGGTCATGGCTGCATTTGTTGGGTTTTTTTACCACCCCTTCCCGACTACGCTACATCTAGTTGTCCCCCTAGTCACCCCCAAATGCCCCTAAGTCCCCCATTTCACCCTTCTTTACCTGTTGATTTCTTGCCCAGACTTAGGTCCTGGACGCACTCATGGCTGGCGCTACCCTAAGGCGAATAAGGCATTCGCCTGTTGCCCCGACCTGCAGGGGGCATGGGCACCTACCGGGAGCTTTCTGGGTGGGCTGCTGCTGTGAGTGGGCTGCTCCAGGCTGGGGCCGGAGTGCTGAGTGAGCGGCTGTTTAGCCGCCCCCCAGCGCAACCATAGCATGTGCTCCCTCTGCCTCCCTGTTGCTGCCAATCATCTGCTCAGGGAGAGTGGTTTGCTGAATCCCCAGCTCCCGCGCAGAGCACACCGCCTGCTGCAGGCAGGGGAAGCTGGGATGTGACATGGTATCCCAGTTGCCCCCTGCTTGTGAACACAGGAAGCACTCTGGAGGGAGCAAGAAGCAGGCTGTGCTCGCAGTGCACAGCCCTCCTGCTCCCTCAGGAACAAGGACAGCTAAATGCAGGCTGAAGTCTGGACCCCTTCTCCTCCAGCCACATCACTAGCATAGGTATGGCATATCTGGAGGATAAGCGGGGCTGGTTATTGTGTGTATGTTGGAAAATTGGTGTTATGTTTGTGGGTGTGTGTTTTAATAAATTGTGACTATATGTAAACTAGTGTGAGTGACATTGTGTGTGTGTGTGTGTGTATGTTAGTGAGAGTATATAAGTAACATTGTGTGTGTATTTTAGTGAGAGTGTGTAAGTGACGTGTGTTTGTATGTCAATTAGAGTGTGTGTTAGTAAGAGTGTGTAAGTGACATTGTGTGTGTGTATGTCAGTGAGAGTGTGTAAGTAACATTGTGTGTGTATGTTAGTGAGAGTGTGTAAGTAACTGTGTGTGTATGTAGTATTTCTCACTGGTCTCTCTGCTTTCCCTTACTTCTCCCTCACTTAGGAGTCTGTTGACTAAACAGTGATTTGAAAAAGATGACTTTATATAACTCTTCTGTTTTGGCCCAAATGTTGCAAGTTATATTGCAACTCACTCACTGTTTAAAGGACCACTCTAGGCACCCAGACCACTTCAGCTTAATGAAGTGGTCTGGGTGCCAGGTCCAGCTAGGGTTAACCCATTTTTTCATAAACATAGCAGTTTCAGAGAAACTGCTATGTTTATGAATGGGTTAAGCCTTCCCCTATTTCCTCTAGCAGCTGTCTCATTGATTTTCACAGTGAGAGCACGCCAGCGTCCATAGGAAAGCATTATGAATGCTTTCCTATGCGACCGGCTGAATGCGCGCGCAGCTCTTGCCGCGCGTGCGCATTCAGCCGACGGGGAGGAATTTCTCTTTCCAGAGCCGGGCGGAAGGGGGACCCTGAGGGTGGGGGCTCCCTCATGGCACTATAGTGGTCCTTTAATGAATAGACAGGGAAAAGAAAAGAAGAGAAATTGACAGAAAACAATTACAGGGTTATTCACTAAAGTGAGAATTGTTGGGCATTTAGGTTTTTTGGCCTTAAATTAGAAAGTCACTTTGAATTCCCAACAATTCTCACTTTATTGAAGTACCCTATTGGAATAAAGAGAAACAGTCTGGAGAGAATCTGTGGCGTAGAGTGAGCAGAGAAATCATGAACATAGAGACTGCAAGCTTTGGGAAACAGAAACAAAGGAGAAAGAAGTGGGTAAACGCTAATGAGAGAGATTGGGCCCTGTGGAGGAAAGGGACAGCTGATCAGACCTAATTAAAAACCAAATGGCAAAACTTAGGCTAAAATAGGTGATTTAGAAGACTTCTCCAACTCAGCTACAGACAAAGTTCAGCTGTTTTTGCTTAAACTATGCAATTCAGTTTCCAATTTACTGAAATTCAGAGTTTACTGAATAAACTTCTAAAGGAATGTGGTTGCTTTAAAGAGGGGGTGGCAAAATGGATCTTTGACTAGGGTGGCAGGAATTCTTGCACCGGCCCTTGGCGCACTTAGTGCGGGCAGGTAAGGGCCCTGTGGGACACGTCATCTGCCCACACTAGATGGCATGGTGAAATTCCCACCCATGCCCAGTTTAACTTGGGCATTCTCTATTGTCCAAAATTCGGACGGGAATTTTGGCAATTCGTTCATTCGTAAGAAAGAAGAATGAAAGAATACAAATTACGAAAAATAAATCGTCTTCAATTTATTATAAGGAGTAAGCTACTGGCTTGCGGCTCCCTTCTTGCAATATGTAAAAATGGAAGTGGTGGGGAGCTGTGCTCCCTGCCACTTCCTAACCCCCCCATGCCCTCCTTACTCTATGGGTGTCAATATGCCGCGAGTAGAATCATGTCTACTAAACAGACTGCTCATTGTTTTTAAAAAATACAAAAAACTCTATGAATCTAATAAAATAATTAAGGGGGGGGGCATACTGTCCACCTGGAGTCCCCACTCATGTAATGCAAATAGGGGCCACTAAACTAAACAGGGGACCTAGTGTCCCCTTAGGTGGGTGGGGGCCCTTAAGTGTCTCCCCCAAAAGGTCCTCAAGGATGGGAGACCGGTGGGGGCCCTACTGTGACAAAGGACTGGGCCTACGGTCTCCCTCCCAGCCCCCACCCATGAGCAGTGGGTGGGGGCCCTTAAATGACAGAAGGAGGGGGACCTACTGTCTCCCCCCCTCCAGCTCACCCCATAAGCAGTGGGGGCCCTTCAGTACTGTCTCCCCCCACCCATGACGGTGGATGGGGGCCCTTCAGTGACAGAAACCTACTTCCCCCCCCCCCGTCCGGCCCCCACCCATGGGCGGTGGGTGGGGGCCGTTAAATGACAAAAGGGGGAGACCTACTGTGGGGAGTCTTATGGCTGAGTGCCAGAGTAGTAGAGACAGTAGGTCTCCCCTTTTGTCATTTAAGAGCCCCCACCCACAGCTCATTGGTGGTTGCTGGAGGGGGGGAGACATTAGGTCCTACCCCTTTTTGTCACTGAAGGGCCGCTGCCCATGGATTGGGGCCAGGGGCCCTTAAGTGGCAAAAGGGAGGTAACTACAGTCTCCACCCCCAGCCCCCACCCATGGGTAGCGGCCCTTCAGTGACAAAAAGGGGTCAGACCCGCCGCTCATGGGTGGGGGCCAGAGAGGGGACACTAAGTGTGGAGGAGAGTTGAGTACTGTGGGAAAATTTCTTTGACCACAGGAAATGGAGAAGACTTAAGCTCCTCCTTTGTTTAAAGAAGGTCGAGCGTAGGAATAATACAGTCCCTCCTTTGTGTTATGTTTAAAAGAAAACTAGATCAGATAGGAAAAAAAGAAGAACAGATCCTGAGAGAGAAAGAAAAGACAAAGCGATTGGGGACAGGTAAGTTTGGCACGACACTGCTACTTTAAAAGATAAAAATGTATCATTTGTACATACCAGATCTCATAGGATATCGTCCTGTCAAGAAAGCAGCTCTACTTGGAGTACAGATTGGTGCCGCTGCTATGTGCTGCGTTAATTTTACACCTTCCTTAGCGAGTTTGTCAATATTAGGTGTCCTTAAAACAAAAAACACTTTCAAATTCATCTTTAAATTTCAGTAGATTGGAGATTAAAAAAAATAAATAATAATAATTAAACAATAGAAAATATGCCTCTTTTGTCTATGTATTAGACATCAGTACAAGGTAAAAATAAAAATAGATTTCTTAACTTGTCACAAGATTGATATTAGTGTTGCCAACAGCACTGGAATAATGCCATAAATGGAATTATTTATCAAGGTAAAAACAGGTGCTATTCTGGGGGCAAAGTGTTAAAGGGTTGTACTTTTCAGCTTGCTGAGGAGTGTTGGAGGTTAACTATGTCACTGTAGATTTATTTGATAAAAGTGTTGATCTAAAGATAAATCATTATTTTTTATAAATCTCCTTAGTACCTCCCCCAGGCTGCCAAGATAACAGAGCAGGGATTCCTGCCTGCATTAAATAAAATAAAATATGAATATTAAAATCTGATTAATTATTAATATGAAAAATATTTTATATCACAAACATCAACAAAAAGTATAAAACAAACTATATATTTATGTATGTGAGAGTGATTAAATTGATTTAGCTCTCACATTGCATTTCAGTATTTAAAAAGGTCCTTCAGCCGATCGAATAGAATAAATGCACACAGTGATTTTATAACAGCGTTTACTGAAAGACAAACAGACAAATACACACAATGTCACACTGAAACAGACACTTATGTTTGAAGTTCGTTTGCAACGTGAAAAAGACATCTGTGCCTACGTTAGCTTTTCACAAGCTGTTCTCTTTATTAGCCAAAATGGAGCCATGTGTGCACTCCATCCTCCAAAATGGAGACCTTCTCTCTTCTCGCTGTGGAGCATGGAGTGTCCTCCCATGTGTCGAATTGTCTCTTTTAGTCTTCTGTAAGCACAGGGTGTGTTCCAAATTGCAGCTGTTGGTAAACATGCAAGTTGTTCCCAAAAAAGTCTTCTGCAGCATGTTATCTCTGATAACTAATGGATTCCTATATGCATTCAAATGACTAATTACTCTGCAAATCCCCCTTACTACAATCCACCTCTTCATTAATAAACAAAATGCATTAGCTACCTGTTAAAGCTGTATTGTTCCTATTAATGGCATGATAATGTATTAACCCCTTAAGAAACAAACTTCAGGAATAAAAGGGAATCATGAAATGTCACACGTCACGTGTCCTTAAGGGGTTACACAACTATCCATAGTGGCTAATCACAAAGCAACATTGAAAAACAAACACAATATTCAGATTGAAACATATTAAACATTTCAGGAGAAACAAAAAAAAAAGTTTCCTCACAAAATGTCCAATATGTTCAAATCCCTGACCCAGAGGTGATGCTCCCTCTTCATAGGCTACTTACTACAACTGTCAAGTCTCTATATAGACTTCCAGTTCTTCATCTATCTCTTCATCCTCATTAATTCCAAAGCCTGGAAATGGAAAACCACATCATCTTCGGATCACCACCAATCTGTAAATTGGAGAGAAGGATTGAGCATCTCATCTTATTATTGAGTTACACCCCTATTTTCAATATTACTGGATGGATCACATTCAACCACTTGATGACCCACAGAGACACTACACGCAAAAACTGCTTCCATATTACCCCTTAAGATTCATTTGATAGTAATATTTTTGACATCCTGGATAATGGGTACTTCCAAGAGAATAAAATGTAAGGTTCACACCTTCATCACCATGTTGTCACTTATAATGTTTCCCAATAACATTCCTGTAAACCATCCCCACACTATCACTGTGAAGGGGTTGGATATTGTATGGTTATTTTTTTTGGGGGGGGGAAATTTGACCTAAAGAAGAAAACCTATCCCACCCCCTTAATGTTCCTACCAGAGAAAATAATCGGTTATGCTTATTTTAAAAGCTCTTTGCACCACTCTATCGACCCAGAGGCATTAGGGTGATAGGCATGTGTTAGCCGTTGACTAACTTGCTCAATGACACCGAAGCTTAGTTTTTTCCATATATGCCTCAATTCTTTAATTTTGTTCTTTTCTGAAGCCAAGGGCCTTTTTCAAAACAATCTTCTGGCTAGCATCCTTGCAAGTTTCTCTTTCCAAATCTTCAGGAGAGATCGCCCCAGCAACATAGCATTTCTTCACTCCACCTATTGATAGAAGGTATCTTTGCTGACCATGCCTAGTTCTTTGTATGTTACCGTCTTCTTGGACTCCACTGGTCAACAGCCACTTCTTCATTTCAGTGTAGATAGGATTGGCTGCTTGCACTTTATTAGTTGTTATTATATCAGGAAGTTTCTTGTTCCTTCCCACTCCAGGACACCCTTAATGCGACCCATTTTGACATGGATTTGCTTGCATTCCTTTTTCAAATTGTCATTAGTTCTCTCTGTCATTTGAACATGTATTGATTGTTTTGTTCATCTCAGGTATCCAATTCAGAACTTCATCCTGGCTACTTTTGCTCTCTAGATCAGGGAACGTTTTGTTCTCGTTATCTTCTAGACCTTTTCTTTTCTCATTTTACTTGTTATAGGAGTCTTAACATTTTCTGGTGTTAAATGGTTTGTTCCAAATTCACAATTCACTGTCTGGATGGTGAACAGTCTTTTTCCCAGGCAAATGTAACTACTTTCACTTCTGGTGCAAAGAGAATTGAAAGGACCATATTTGCTAATTCAATCATTGCCTGCCACCTGTCTGCATGTTTGGCTGTATCATGAGTAGTATTGCACAGAGCTGACATTTGCACAGACAAAATTGTCAATAGTGCTTTTAGCTGGCCAAGCTTCTGCCTTTTCCTGTCCATCTAGCTGCTGGTTTTGCATGTGGCAAACCAGCATGCCTGGGGAAGAAACAAATACTGTGTTCAACATTGCAGGTCCCCCTAACTTGCCCTTATATGGGGAACCTGAAGGTTAACACTGCTTGTACTGTCTTGATTTCCCAAAACCTGTTCTGGAAGCATGAAAAAAGTTATTAGTGGATGTGGCTATTCTAACTAGAGCTTCCCTTGTGTTCTTCCCACCCTGACATTCTGTCATGGAAGGCCCTCCCCTTTGCCCTGCCTTGCTCACCTAAATATAGTAAAATCTTACCTTTACTCCAGTCTGCTGCTGGCACTTGCCCTGATCTGCCTGCTTGGCTGACATAATCAGAAGTGTTGATCTGATCCAATCACAATGCTTTCACACAGGAAGTTGGATTGGCTAAGAGTGTCAAGGAGGCAGATCAGGGGCAGAGTCAGCACAGTCCTGGCCAATCAGCACCTCATCATAAAGAGGCATTGAACCAATGCATCTTTATGAGGAAAGTTCAGTGTCTGCATGCAGAGGGTGTAGACACTGAATTTCATTGTCTACAGGAATCACCTCTAGTAGCCATATGAGGAGTGGCCAGTGGAAGTATTGTAGAAATCTAATTTTCTCTGAAAAGACAGTATTTATTTCAAAAAGCGTGAATGGACTGATTATACTCTTCAGAACAAATACAAAAAGTTGTAATAGTTCTGGTTACTATAGTGTCTCTTTAAGATTAAACCCGGTGTTTGATTTCCTAAATCTTCACAAATCGGTGCAGCATATTTAATTAATTCCTTAGCAATGGGTTTCCAAAAATCACAGTTTGCCCACTCAGGAACTTAGAAAATGATCTTAAACTTTGACACTCTTACTTTTTTGAAGATGAAATTCATTTTCCAGTCATAAAAAACACTATACAAATAAGATAACATTTAAATCCTATCTTTCAGTAACACTATCTGCTTCAGGGGCATATTCACTAAATAATGAAACGATTTACTGTTCAGCAAATAATTCCTCCCAGAATTGTTCACTTTACTCACATATTAACACCCAGTGATCATGTGAAATCCTGCCTATGTTATTTATGTTAAACATGATAAAATATTATTAAAAATGATTAATTTTTAATGTGAAACATTTAATACCGAAGCTTAAACAAAGTTTATAAAAAAATACCTAAATATTTATGTATGTGAGAGTAATTAAATTGACCTAGCTCTCAAAATGCATTCTACTATTTAAAAAAGGTACATAGAAACATAGAATGTGACGGCAGATAAGAACCATTCGGCCCATCTAGTCTGCCCAATTTTCTAAATACTTTAATTAGTCCCTAGCCTTATCTTATAGTTAGGATAGCCTTAAGCCTATCCCACGCATGCTTAAACTCCTTTACTGTGTTAACCTCTACCACTTCAGCTGGAAGGCTGTTCCATGCATCCACTACCCTCTCAGTAAAGTAATACTTCCTGATATTATTTTTAAACCTTTGTCCCTCTAATTTAAGACTATGTCCTCTTGTTGTGGTAGTTTTTCTTCTTTTAAATATAGTCTCCTCCTTTACTGTGTTGATTCCCTTTATGTATTTAAATGTTTCTATCATATCCCCCCTGTCTCGTCTTTCCTCCAAGCTATACATGTTAAGATCCTTTAACCTTTCCTGGTAAGTTTTATCCCGCAATCCATGAACCAGTTTAGTAGCCCTTCTCTGAACCCTCTCTAAGGTATCAATATCCTTCTGAAGATACGGTCTCCAGTACTGTGTACAATACTCCAAGTGAGGTCTCACCAGTGTTCTGTACAATGGCATGAGCACTTCCCTCTTTCTACTGCTAATACCTCTCCCTATACAACCAAGCATTTTGCTAGCATTTCCTGCTGCTCTATTACATTGTCTGCCTACCTTTAAGTCACCAGAAATAATCACCCCTAAATGCCTTTCCTCAATTGTTGAGGTTAGGACTCTATCAAATATTCTGTACTTCAGCCAATCACATAGAGTACTAAGTGAGTGAACACACACAAAGAGTGATTTTATAACAGTGTTTACTTAGGGACAAATATGATCAAATACACACAATGTCACACTAAAATAGACAGCTTAGGTTTAAAGTTCAGCTGCAACGTGGAAAGACATCTGTGCCTGCATTAGCTTTTTATAAGCTGTTCTCCTTATTCACCGAAATGGAACTATGTGTACACTTCCTCCTCTCTGTCCCAGCACAGAGTGTCCTTCCATGTGTTTAATTCTGCCTTTTGTTTTTCTGTAAGCACAGGGTGTGCCTCAAGCTTCAGCAGTTGGTAAACGTGCAACTTTTTCCCAGGAAGAGGGAAAGATCATCTTTTTCTACAGTGTGTTTTCTCTGATAACTAATGGATTCCTGTAGGCCAGCGTTTTCCAATTGGTGTTGTGTGAGAACACAAATGGGGTTCCGTCAAAATTTCGGGAAACAAAATGCCCGCTGCAATAATTGAGGCGGCCGGCGAGGGAGCTGAGCAAGGGAAAGTGCTCCCTCGCTGCTTGCCTGAATTATTGCGGCGGCCATTATCGCGACACGCACAGCAGTGATGTCGAAGCTGGAATATGACATCACTCCGGCTCTGGCATCCCTAAGAGAGAGCTGAGCAGGAAGATCACCTCTCCCTTGCCTCCTGCACGCCAGCTGCTCAGCCCAGCAGCCCCACTGGACCCCAGGGACTGCACGCCAGCCGCTCAGCCCTGCAGCCCCACTGGCACCCAGGGACTGCACGCCAGTCGCTCAGCCCAGCAGCCCCACTGGACCCCAGGGAAATAGAGCTTTATGCCAGCACTCCCACAGGTAGGGAGGCTGGGTGGAGTGAAATTTAAAAAAATAATTAAATTGTGTGTGTGTTTAAGGATTTTGTATGTGTGTTTGTCAGTGAGTGTGTGTTTATGTGCGTTTGTCAGTGAGAGTGTATATGTGCTTGTCAGTGAGTGTGTGAGTGTGTATGTGTTTGTCAGTGAGAATGTATGTGTGCTTGTCAGTGAGAGTGTATATGTGTTTGTATGTGTGTCTGTCAAAGAGTATGTGTGTCTGAGTGTGTCAGTGTGTGTATCTGTGTGTCAAGGTTTGTGTATGTGTCACTGTGTGTGTGTGTCAGTATGTATGTATTGGTGTGTGTGTGTGTGCCAGTGTATATCAGTGTGTTTGTATGTGCCTGTGTGTGTGTGTATGTCACTGTGTGTATATCTGAGTGTGTATGTGCCAGTGTGTGTATCTGTGGGTGCAAGTGTGTGTATATGTCACTGTGTGTGTATTTGTGAGTCAAGATATGTGTATGTGTCCCTGTGTGCATTTGAGTGTGTGTATGTGTATTTTAGTGTGTGTATCTGTGTGCCACTATGTGTCAGTGTGTGTGGGGTGGGGTGGGGTTCCACGATGTTGATACACAATGTCAAAGAGTTCCATGGGAAAAATTAATTGGGAACCCCTGCTGTAGGCATTTCATGTATTAATTACAAACTGTATTCAAAGCCAGAGTGAGTGTTCCTTATAGAGAAGGACTGATTTCAACACTTCTTGGAGAAAAGAAGCATTACTGGTGTCAGTAATGATTTATATATACACACATTACTTGTAACCTTGGCACTCACCCCTTTCAATGTCTTCAGTATTTTCTTGCCTTGATGCAACCCTTGCATACTGATATCTATTCAAAAACTTGAAGGTGCACTCACAGGTCTTTTTTCAAACTGATTCTTTTATTCTTATTACCTAAATCCTGATTGACGGGACACGGGTCGAAAACGTTGATCGGGACAAACTTATTTTTTATGTAATAGGAATTAAAGAATCACTTTGAAAAAAGACCTGTGAGAGCACCTTCAAGTTTTAGAATATCTATCTATCTATCTATCTCTCTCTCTCTCTATCTATATGTATTCGGGGACATAAGCCGTTATACTAAGAAATACCAAAAATAATATAATAAGAAGTAAGCACCAGTCAGTTGTGGTGTGCCGGTACCGATGTATGGTGTAGGCCTGTAATAAAAAAAAAGAGGGCAAAAAGTTGATGTAAAGAATTCTATATTAAACCGAAAAAATGTTCACAGTAACATAAATTAAATCCCAATATTATTACAATGTAAATACTACCAAATGCATTGAAAAAGAGTGTATGGATATATGCATTAGGCAGTATGTGTTTATTGATGTATGCATTAGGCAGTAAGTGTGTATTGATCTATGCATTATGAGTGTGTAAATATATGTATTTGGCAATGTAAGTGTATGAATGTATGTATTAGGCAGTATGAATGTATATATTAAGCAGTGCGCGTGTGTGGATTTATGTATCGGGCTTTGTGCGTATGATTGATTGCATTGAATAGGCAGTCTGTGTGGATGGATGTATTAGGCAGTGTTTGTATATGGATGCATATACTGGATGAGTGTTTCTACACAGTGTGTTTTCTTCCCTAAATGTCTCTTCGTTGCAATTCAGAATTTAGTGAATGTTTCGAACCCAAGCCACTAGTCTTCTGCAGACACAAAGCAATATTACATTTGAGGTTCTCTTTTTCTCAATTTGTTCCATTCTCCCGTTTTTAACCTGTATTGACCTATTCTCATATCCATGTCCTCTTCTTTACGTTTGCATTTTTTCACCTTACTTTCCAATTTACCTCTTTATATACATTTCTGCTTTTTCCTACCAGCTGTAACAGTTGTCTCGTCAAATTGTCTTATTTGTTTTTCTGATAAATGTTCCCTTTTTAGGGATTGTATCCCTATCAGGGGTGCTGCCTATTCATAATGATTTGGTGCTTGATGTGTGGTGATGTTAGCTCTGACTGTCATGGAAGAGTCAGCTAAGATGACACTATCTATTCAGTTCCTGCTGCAGAGTAGCCATTAATCTTGGAAGTCTATATTCTCAGAGGTACTTAAATGCCAGCTTTGGCATACAGTCAGTTAGATAGCTGTTACTTTCCTACGGATTACCATTTGTGACTCCCCTTTTTCTAGCCTTGCTTTCTTACGGTTTGAATTATAAATAGTTTGAAAAGTCAGTGAGGTAGTTATTTGCTTAGTGATGCAGCTGTATTATATAAGCCTCATTATCACAGATTTGATTTTTGGCAGGGTAATCTCAGCAATTCATTCATGGTCAATAAAAATAAACATGTACTATGTGTTATCTTATAATAATATCATCTGTACAGGGCCGGCCTTTGGGGTGTGCGAGCTGTGCGGTCGCACAGGGCGCCATAACACAAGGGGCGCCCTGGCAGCCGACACGGCTCACAAGCTGAGTCCATCCTATTACATGAAAAATGACTCCGTGATGGTCCAGTGGTGCACCTAGCAGGAGCTGCAGCCAGATCATCATAACTTCTCCCTCGCGGTTCTGGCGCTCAGTTAGTGAGTCAGAGCGCAGCCTCAGAGATTCCCAGGCCGCGCTCTGACTCCACACAGCGCCAGAACCTCGAGGGAGAAGTTATGATCAGCACTCCCTGCTATTCACCTCCAGCCCACCAGAGGCCAGCACTGGAGATCGGGGACAGAGGAGACTTGTGATCTGGCACCAGAGAGAATGGGCACTGCTTGAAAGCAGAGGCAGCTTGGGACAAGGTAGGAGACTGTAATACAGCCTTGAGTTCCAAGCCACAGAAACTCCTCCAGTCTGTGACAGGGAAAGAAGATGCTGAGTATAGGTGGTGTTACATCATCATTAGTCTGCTGGTGTAAGACTACCTACATATCCTGTCTGTCATATACCCTCATCTGTACCCTAACTGTGATAATGTGTGTATATCTGTGACTGCGTTTTATGATGTGTCTGTGTACATCATGTGTGTTCATACCTGACAAGCTTCTAAAACGACAATTGTCAGTGAATTTCAAAGTCACCTGTGCTTCGAATTCAGCTATTTTGGCGCCAAATATGAAATCCACTTAGAATTCCTGAAAAAAATTCATGTTAGTAATGTTAGTTATCTGTATGTGACTGTGTCTATCTATGTATATGCGACATGTGATCTGTGGATTTGTATGTGTATTAATGGTTAAACGCTCTAATGTACATATAGAGCAAATTAAAATAAGGAAAATATTTTACAAAGAAACTTTGAATTAAAAAAATACACAGTGTGTATTAACTGAGTGTGTGTGTGCCCATCATCATGCGTGAGTGTCTGCATGCCTGTAACTGAGTGTGTCTGACTGTCTGCTTGTAACTGTTTGTGTAACTGTCTGCTTGTGCCTGTGAGTGTGACTGTATACAGCTTTTTACTGGGGGGATGGGGCGCCGTGAAGACTTTTTGCACAGGGCGCCTAATGGCCTAAGGCCAGCCCTGCATCTGTACTTCAGGACTTAAAAACAATCAAATGCTAAATGTATAATTTGTTTAAATACTTATTGCTGTTATACTTATTATGATTATTATTATTATTGAAGAACTGCAAAAAGACAGTAAAATATTTGGCAAGAAAAAACTAATATTTACAGTTAAAATTCCTAAAAAGAGAATGTGACTGGGTGCCTCCGCCAATCGCTACTTCCTATCTGTTGCCAAGTACCATAAGCACCGCACCAGACATCATAAGCACCATAGCCATTTAGCCGCCGCAGCTTGGCTAGGGTCTCGCCGTCCCTTCTCACCCTGGACCATACTCCTGGATCCAGCTCCCAGTGAGAAGACCTCTCCTCCAAGAGAGTATAGCAGGTATAGCAGTGTAGCTCTTACAAGAGCTAGGGATTATAATCCAAGGGAGCATAAGAGTATAGCAATTCCCAGAGTGAATATAGTTGTCCCCTCCACACATGAGATGAGGCTCAATGTTGAGGGTGAAGAGGAACTCTTTATTGGCAGCCACAACTGGCCTTATATGCAGGTCCCCATGCAAGGGGCACTCCCCCTGCACCTGAGAGTAGACTACAGTAAAAACATACACACAATTACATTGTCCAGGACACTCCCACATAAAACAAGATAATCCCTCCTCTGTGCCCAAGGGATAATAGATTCAAGCACTGTATTAAACTCAATTATCTCCAGGCACAGAAAACATCCATTTTTTACAAACCCCCAAAATACCTTTATACACACAAACCCCCCCCTCCAGTGATCTGGGTGACCAACATATCCAAAAATCACCCAGATCAGTTCAGGGGTTTGGGAATTTCCTGGAAATCATAATTTGACCGACCACACGCATGGTCCCATGCCCCAAAAAGTTCCAGAGAATCAGAGCTTGCGGTTGGTCTAGTTCGGTAGTTTAAAAACCGAACATACTATCGAACATAATCAACGTTCTTACCCTGGAGCTTGTTCACCTTGTTCGTGGTAACGTTTCCACCATACAGTGCCATTCTAAGTTGTGTAGAACCAAATGCAGGTGATCCTGGAAGTCCAGTGGTGTTCGGGAGTTTCAGTGTCCGAAAACAGTTCCATGAACTTGACGACCAAATAATGCTGCCTGTTTTTGCGGGAACAAGATGGCCACCAGCTCGTGGTCATTCATGCGAGCAACGGCCACCCAGACGAACACTTAGAACACTGCGGTGGAAAGTGTTACAAATTGTCAATTAGGCTTAACAAGCTCCCGGGTGGTCTCTCTCTGGTTTGTGCGGCTGTTCGGGAACCGAACCAATTGCACGAACAGAGCCCTTTTACAGTATTTTAGCCAGGTCTATTGCAGGGGGCCATAGTCCTGAGGCAGGAGGCTGGAAAGCAGGCCCATCCAAGAACAGAATAAAATACATTTACTACAGAAATTTACCAACATTTTTTTTACCTTATTAAGAGCTCCTACCAGCTTGCTGAAAATTTCCAGTCAGTTCTCGAAGGTTCTATATTTTGTTTGTTTAGAAGCAGATTTATCAATGGACCTGTAGTGGTAACAGGTACTGATCATGACAAATATTGCTTAATCTTAAATGATTAAGAATTAGCAAGCACCTGTTTAGATTCCCCCTCTCCTCTCAGTCAGTTTAATTTGTACCAATTGGACCAGAGATAAGAATACTATGCTTTGGACTGCTACCAGGGAAACCATCCTTTAGGCTTGTCTCAAGCTTGAATTCAGCCTAAGAAAAAGCAATGCCTGCAAGGGGAAGTAGGGCAGAGGGGGAGGCTCTTTGTCACAGCAGCACCAGCATGGAGAGAGGAAAGAAACAGCCAGAATAAATTATTGCAGCAGCTTTGGACAGACAATCTGAGAATGGAGAGAGAGAACAGGCACATTTTATTTATACAAAGCCTACATAGAGTGTTTGTGACTTTTAATCTGTTATGGGAAGCAAGTCTGTGAACGAGTCAAGCCAGATAGTTAGAAGACACCAAACATATCTACCATGACAAGTTCACTTTAGCATTGCACTGATTAGAGTGAGGGAGTAGCTCAATCTCTTATGTGCTCCATGATATAGCAGATGTTACAATTAACAATTGTTTTACCTTATTGTGTCATTGCCAAAGCAACCGATATCTCCAATCCCTAGATCGTCAGCCATGATTAGCACAAAGTTGGGCTTGGAGTGTATTGTGTTTGTAACTGGAAATGTTATTGAACACAATGTTACTGTTATGAACCTGAAATGACAAGGTCGTATACTCAGGATACCATGTGTTTTTCATACACATTATAATTTTCTCAATTAATCAAACAATATTTTGTAAACATGGTGTCCCATACAGATAATCGAGGTTACAGTCCAACTTCGGGAGAGCAAAAAAACAGGGTGCAAAAGAATACTGAGAATGGACAACAGCTCAAATAGCCTGCCCTTCGGTGGTTGCATATCAGACTGATTCCACCCAAAAGGATGGAACCTGTCTAAAATACAGTCCAACTTCAGTTCTCAAGGGATAAAGATACACTAGATGGATTCTTTTTTTAAAGGGACACTGAAGTCACCAGAACAACTATGCTTATTGTATTTTTTTCTGGTTAGTATAATGAGTCCCTTCAGGCTTTTTACAGTAAAACAGGGAAAAGGCAGTGTTTACATTACAGCCTAGGGATACTGGCCACTCCTCAGATGGCTACTAGAGGTGCATCATGGGCCAGTGCTGCCATTCAGTGGCTCCACCCATGGCATCAAGACACTTTTTTTTTTAACACTATAGGATCAGGAATACATTTTTGTGTTGCTGACCCTATAGTGTTCCTTTAACATTTAATTGGGGCTAGCTTATAACTTCAAAATGTAGCTGACTGAAACATTTCTTATTACATTTAGAATCTCTATTGTGGTCTAAATTGCTAAAGGTATCTCTGCATGTTTCTAGTGCCGAGAGTCCCCATGGTGCCCATTTGTATTAATGGTATATATTTATGGAGTAATTTAAATATGTCAGCTATTAAAATTCCCCAAAATGTATCATAGGCCCATCTTCAATATGCCATTTGAAAACTGCACTGGAAATGTTATAAATTGAACCCTGTTTTCACAATACCTTGACTTATGCAAAGGAGGTTGTTCTGGACTCAGGAGATATAGCTGAGTACTATTTAGTGAGGTTTGTTATCGTAGAACATATCAAATTTACAAAGCAAACTTCTAAATTGCAATGTGCATGTAAAAATGTGAAAATAAATTAATACCATAAATTAAATTGGTGCTAAAATAGCTGTATAATAAGGTTTAGAAAAATACCATATGACTTACCCTGTGGTGTCTACTTTCACAAATGGTATGTATTTATGGATACGTTTTAAATGTCAAACTGCTACAATACTCCCAAATGCAGAATAGGTCCATCAAATTTTGCTGAGCATAACATGGGAGGCTTCATTACAGTGGCATAATCAAACTTGAAAAAGTCCTAGCAAAAAGATAAAAAGATCTCCCTGCCTAGTGGTCTGTGGTGGGACGGCATTCCCTCATGGTTACGGCACTCTGTGAGGGAGTCAGTGCTGGCTCTGGGTTTCCAAGCCTGTGCTCTGATGTCATTACAAAGCAATTGACTGAGAGGATTGCAGCTGCAAAAGTAGCCCACTGGACCAACAGGCAGTGGCAGACTAAGGGGGGGCGGACCGCCCCTGGTGCCACCTGGTAGGGGGGTGCCATAACCCAGGTCTGAGGGTTAATGGGGGATGTGTGAGCTGTGCCCCATGGCAGCTGGGGTGTTGCACAGCTCACAGGCAGAGACAAGCAAGCTGAAGTGGCCGCACGGAAGTTTGGGGGCGGAGCCAATCCGAAAGCGGGGGTGGGGCTTAACACAGCCCTTACCCACTGCGGTTACTGCTGCACATGGAGGTGCAGCAAGAAGAAATCCCTGCTCCTCCACCCAACAGGCTCCAGCCAGGGAAGGACTTCAAGGAATCCAGTCCTCCTCTAGCCCACACTGTCTGTAAGTAAGTGAGAGTGTGTGTGTGTGTGTGTGTAACTGTCTGCCTGTAATTGTGTGTGTGTGTGTGTGTGTGTGTGTATAACTGTCTACCTGTAATTGTGTGTGTAACTGTGTGTATGTGTGTGTAACTGTCTGTAACTGTGTGTGTTTAACTGTCTTCCTGTAACTGTGTAAGTGTGTGTAACGGTCTGCCTGTAATTGTGTGTGTGTAACTGCCTGTAACTGTGTGTGTGTGTGTGACTGTCTGCCTGTAACTGTGTGTGTGTAACCGTTGTCTGTAACTGTTTGTGTCTGACTGTCTGTAACTGTGTATTTGACTGTCTGTAACTGTGTGTAACTGTGTGTGTGTGTGTAACTGTAACTGTGTGTGTGTAACTGTCTGCCTGTAAATGTGTGTGTGTGTGTGTGCGTGACTGTCTTACTGTAACTGTGTGTCTGTGTGTGTAATGGTCTGCCTGTAACTGTGTGTGTGTGTGTGTGTGTGTGACTGTCTGTCTGTAACTGTGTGTGTCTGTTTGACTGCATGCCTGTAACTGTGTGTGTGTGACTGCCTGTGACTGTGTGTACCTGTCTGGCTGTGACTGTGTGTGATGCTGCCTGTAACTGTGTGTGTGTGACTGTCTGCCTGTGACTGTGTGTGTGTGACTGTCTGTAACTGCATGCCTGTAACTATGTGTGTGTGTGACTGCCTGTGACTGTGTGTGAGTCTGCCTGTGACTGTGTGATGCTGCCTGTAACTGTATGTGTGACTGTCTGCTTGTGAATGTGTGTATGTTACTGTGTGCATGACTGCCTGTCTATAACAGTGTGCGTATGACTGTCTGCCTGTGAGATGTTGCCTGTAATTTGTGTGTGTCTGTATATGTGACTGTCTGCCTGTAACAGTGTGCATGACTGTGTATTACTGCTTGTAACGGACTGCGTGTATGACTGCCTGTTACTATATGTGTGACTGTCTGCATGTGACTGTGTGTGTTACATTTTAAAAAATGTAAAAAAAGAACACATTTAAAAAAATTTAGTAGTTTTTTGTTGTTGTTTTTTTGGAGGGGAGGGGGGAGGGAGGGGGGTTGCCAAACCCAGGAGCCACCCCAGGTGCCACATGCTCTTGGTACGCCCCTGCCAACAGGGGGCCCACCAGCAGCCCATTGGGGCCTTACTGGGACACCATGGAATCTATGAGTGACCACCAGGGCCCTTCTGGACCACTAAGAATCCACCAGGAGCTCAGAGGATTATAATGGCCCACCACAGAATCCATCAGCAGTCCAGAGGACAACCAGGGGGCACTGAATCATTAACAGGTGTATTATTACACCCCTCCTGCACAGGAGGTAAGCAGTAGAAGGGCAAATGTAAAGAAAAAAATATAACAATAACAGGCATCACTTTGCAGGGAGACTGTGGTTAACATAGCCTGCACACATATTATCACTCCCCTTACACACTCAGTCCTCATATACTGTCACCCCCTCACTCAACCTGCCACCATCACTCATCCCCCAAGCTTGTCACACTCACCACCCATCACATTGTCACAATCACTACCCCTCTCTCACACTAACCTCTAACCTTGTCACACTCAACACCCTGCCACACTAATCCTGTAACACACACCCCTCAACCCTGTCGCTTATACCACCTCTCACCCTGCCACACACCCTGTCACATTAACCAACTAACTCTGTCACACTCACATGCCCCAAACTCTCACACTCACCCTTCTAAAGTTGTAATGCTCACACCCGCTCACCCCAGGATGTTCAGGCACATACACAGGTACACAATGCCAGAGACACAGACAGACTCAGTCAGAAATGCATACACTTTCTCAGGCACATACACAGGTACATAATTCTAGACACACAGCTCTTCCCATATAGATCTCAACCTCCTCCACACACAAAGCTCAGCCAATAGAGACACACAACCTCCCTCTGGCACCTTGCCGAGGACCCTGGGCAACCTTAATCTGATTATAGTCTATCCCTAGTTACACCACCAATGGTAGGCAGCAGTGTTTTTAATTAGAATTGTTATAATATGTATTAAAACAATGCACAGAGCACCACAGTTCTAAATCTTTTATATATATATATATATATATATATATATATATATATATATATATATATATATATATATGTGGAGCCCTGTCTTTATCTCTACCCATCACTTCCACCCATCCCTCATCACTTCCGCCTATTCCTCCCTGACTCCCAGGGACGAATTAGCCGCAAGGTAAACAAGGCATTTGCCTTGGGTGGCATTTTCCAGGGGGCGGCAAAAAAAGCCGCCCCCAAATGCCCAGGGCAAAAGTCTTGTTAGCCTTGCGGCTAACTAAAAATCCGGTTGGTCCGGCGGGCGGCGCTGGCGAGGGAGCTCTTTCCCCTGAGCTCTCTGCTCAGCTCCCTCACACGCTGCAGAGTGATGCCTGGAGCCGGAATATGACGCGAGGGATCTGAGCAGAGAGCTCACTAATCAGTGCTCCCTCACCAGTGCCGCCCGCCCAGCAGCCACTGGACCCCAGTGAGTGAGTGTGTGTGTGTCTTAGTGTGTGTGTCTGTTAGTGTGTGTGTGTGTGTATGTCAGGGAGTGTGTGTATGTCAGGGAGTGTGTTACTATGTGTGTGTCTGTTAGTGAGAGTGTATGCGTGTCTGTTAGTGAATGTGTGTTTCTGCTAGTGACTGTATGTGTCTGTTAGTGAGTGTGTATGTCTGTTAGCTAGTGTATGCGTGTCTGTCAGTGAATGTGTGTGTGTGTGTGTGTGTATTTACAAGGCAGGGCAGGGGGGAAGGGTGGGGTGGTGCGGGGGCACCTGAGTTTTGTCATGCCTAAGGCAGCACAAAACCAGGATACACCACTGCTGACTCCCCATCACTTCCTTTCTCCCCACACTCCTATAGTCTGACCAATTCCTCCCTCTCTCCCCACACTCTTATCACTTCAAGCTACTCCTCAATTTCTCATATCCCAGTATCACTCCCTCGCTCTGCATCCTCCAGTCACTCCCACACATTCCTTCATCTCCTCATATCACTCCCATCCATACCTTCCCTTTTTAATACTCCTGTGACCTCCACCCATTCCTTCCGATCATACTTTTTTTTTTTTTTTTTAACTAGTGAGATTTTGTCTCTACTGCACTACTGTGCATTTTAATCACATACAATCACACAGAAACACACATCACTCATAGCCAAATACACCACACAAGGCTATAAAACATAGAGGCAAAGTGCAAAGTGCACTCAAAACACAGCCCCCATCTCACAGAGTTTTAATAAATATTAATCTTACATACAATTAAAAATAACATTGCATTGGGAAACAATTAAACCATTCTGATTTCTGTTGGACAATTCCTATTTTGGTGCCCCTGACCCACTATTACAGGTTGGTTTCCTGGTGTCCAACATCTTGGGACACCATGGAACCGTCTCCAGCCATCACTGCCTGAAATCATAATAGATGCACTTACACTGTAAAGAGGGCTCTAGGACCACGCAGAGAGCAATTTAGCAGTGCTCCATGTATGATGTGCTCTATGTGGAGCCAGTCAGGAGGTGGTCAGTCAGCCTTATGGGCATTTATGCCAGTTTAACACACTCCTGTCGGCAAGCTTGCCTCCTTTGCGGGTGGACCCACCTTTTCTGGGCGTCACCCAGGTGCATCACTGACATGCCTGCCCACCCAGGTGCACACCCTAATGAAATGTGCCAGCCAACATTTTTTTGGGGGGAGTAATTACATTTATTTTTAGACAAAAGGAAATGTTAAGGGTACAGGCATGTGGAGTTTGAGGGACTATTTGCAAAGTATTGTCCCTCCTATGATTGAGAGTGGCATACCGCCTGTCCTTATTTAGGAGTGACTGCCTCTATTTTGGGCTCAAATTCCTCTATCCTAATGTCGCTCTTTTCTATGAGCTCCATATTCTTTGTGTGCTTAAGTGTCTCATGCCCACCGACTATAGTCCAGGTCTGGGGCACTGTTTGGGAGTTATTATATATGTAGCGGGATAGAGGACCTAACTACACTGCATGGATCTGAGCGCTATTTGGAGAACTTGGGCACTCAGATCAAGGCTATTTAACAATGTATTGTTTGTGCGGCTCCCTTGTGTTTTCCCTTGGACTGATTCTGCCCTGGGAGAGGGGATTTGGGAGGGAAGAATGGCTACCGTTTTGCCCACACACACAAAGAGACCAGGAACTGTCTTGCACCCACTTGTCCAGGCACATTGGACCCCAAGGACTTGAACTGTGGAGTCAGACTTGTTGTAGGCCGGCCCTGGGTCTGGCCACAAGTCTGTCTATTTCTATGGGGGGGAGATATGTGATGGGTGGCCTGGTTTGTTTGGCGCAAGCCAGAAGTTTGCGGCGCCATTTTTGTGACTGCTTTCCCATGTATCTAGATATTGCTGTATTGTGTACTTGTATTCTACATGGAGCAGTGTGTTTGTATATGCAGATGTGGATCAACAAAGGGGAGGCAGCAGCTCTATAAACTATAAAGTATAGTTAGGTGTGAAATGTATTCTGTGTGTTATTCAAGTTAAATGCTGCACTGTGAGTGACCAAATGCTGTGCGAGCCAGCAAGTCTATCTACTACAGCAAAGGACTGTGTTGATGTAACCAGAGATTGCTCTGAAGGGACAGGGGGTCCAACCAAGATAACCATCTGTTGTCATGGTGTGTTGGCACAGGTGGAGGTGGTAACTAGTGTAAGGAATCACTTTGTTGTTTTGTATTTCTTTCTTTGTGACCTGTTCTGTATTCCTATTGGTGAAAGTTTTGTGTAATTGTATGGAGACCAGCTGCTGGGGGTCTGTGTATAACTTGGCTATACTATGTCCCATTAAAGAGTTCAGTTCAGTTGTACTCCCAGAACTATGTGTCATCTAGTTACTGGTAGGGGAAGGGGCTAATCACTGCTCAGCACCTTGTTCCGGCTCATGGAGGATTCAGCGGGGAAAGACCTTGTAAGGGCTACAGCTCCCAGGACTGTGTGTGACTGGGAGTGAATAGAGCTAGTCCCCTATCTTGTTCTAGGACGGAGAGACTCCAGGAGGACCCCAGTCAAGCCAGGGTGACTAGGGCAGAAGTGCTAAGGGTGTTCCCCTGTTCCAGCTAAGAAGTGGTCGTTGGCGGAGGTACCCAGGCAGGGTACAGGGAGCTCCGCCACAAACTATGTTTAGAAATCAGTCTGTGTGAATAAAATACATTGCTCTTGTTTTCAATTACATGATAGTTGCATACATTGTTATTAGTAAGTCATCTAATAAAATCCACTCATGCCCCTAAAATGAAAGTGTCCCTGTTTGTACATTTGGAATGTTGGGAGGTATGTAGCAGAACTGCAGGAGCTGTTATACATTATGCATCACTCAAAGCTGTCCCTGCTTCTACTGCAAGGCAGTTCCTGTTTCAAAGACATTAGAAGTCAAATGGTAAGTGAACCCTTCATTTTCCTGTCCAGCCTCACACATTGACACTGGAAGAGCTGGGACAACAATGCATTTTACACCTCTATAACTGTACCTGCAGCTCTGTTATCAAACATAGGAGGCTGACTGGGCTTCAGAAGACAATGGCCAAGGCTTTAGGCACTTATCTATCATTAGCAGTCCACCTAAGCTCTAAAAAGGCACATTATAAGTGCTTTAAATAGGCACCCACTACAGAGGATCATTTACATTTTATTACATTGGCTACTACCATTTATACCATGTTTACATAGGATTTATTCACCAAGAACAAGCAAAGTATTGTAGGTGAGCGGAGTTGGAGATTTTATGTAAGTTGGTTGGGTTGTCACAATACCTTATTCTTAAAAGACCACTATAGGCACCCAGACCCCTAAGCTTAATGAGGTGGTCTGGGTGCCAGGTCCAGCTAGGGTTAACCTTTTTTTTTATTTTTTTTATAAACATAGCAGTTTCAGAGAAACTGCTATGTTTATAAATTGTTTAATCCGGCCTCTAGTGGCTGTCTCATTGACAGCCGCTAGAGAGCTTCCGTGCTTCTCACTGTGAAAATCACAGTGAGAAGACGCCAGCGAGAGTGAATGCTTTCCTATGGACTGGCTGAATGTGCGTGCAGCTCTTGCCGCGCATGCGCCTTCAGCCGAGCAGGAGAAGAGGAGGCGGAGAGGAGGAGGGTCAGGGCACTATAGTGCCAGGAAAACGAGTATGTTTTCCTGGCTCTATAATGGTCCTTTAGTGAACACATTCTCAATAATACCTGTAGCTTTTTTTGCAGAATAACCAGTAAATCTTAAAATCAGCAGTGTGTTGTCCTTTGTACTGACATGAAACATACCAGTTTACTTACCTCCACATACTTGTCAGCTCCATCTTTACTCTGAAATACAGCAAATATAATTGCAAAAGTAATCTTCTCTATCTTTTTCTAGTTAAAGCACAGCTAATGTTTGCGCAAACACTGACTAATAAGTAATCAAGATTCAAAACATTAATAAAGACAAGCAACATTTAATATATTGATAGTGCAACTTCATAATGTAACTTAGTAACAAAAATGTTCCAATCTGAAGGAAAGTATGCAAACTACATAAAACTGATATGGGGAACACCACTACTAAATACAATATTGCAGGAAATAACAAAACATGTTATAACAAGATTAAAAAGCGAGCTAATAAGAGATTCAGACTTTGTGCTAGATGTTTACGTACTTGAGAGTTTTCCTTGCTGCTCTGCTTCCTGTGTTATCTTTTTCAGCTGCTGATTGGTTTCTGAGTGTCAGCTGACCAGCCGGGAATAATAACTTTGCAGTTTCACCTATATTATACCACTGTGTTTCTCCAATCAGATAACTTTGGACTTGCCCTTTTATTTATTTATTTTCAGCTATTTTAGTGTTAACCTCATAAGGACCAATTGCATTTCTGATATGCACAATCTAGTCACTGAAGACCATATGCTACAATGAATTGTCTTGAACTGCCTTGCTTATTTCAATTGTCCTGCATATTTAACATTAGCAGCTAAAGGCAGCCCTGATATTTGTATATGGGTAATGGTTACAATGCCTCCAGCGACTCAGTTTTTAACCAAAATGTTTTTATTCCATCGTTTCACAGTAAATAGAATTGTAGTTTTATTAAGCCCTTCTGGAACTTTTTAAAGAAAAGAAAAAGAAGGAAAATCTGCAGTTTTAAGTCCCTACTGTGTATGTGGAGTGCATTCCTAGAAGTTTACTAGTATTTTCTTATATATAATTGTCAAATTTGCAATATGATACATAAAGGTAATTTCTCCTTTATTTTCTTCTATACTGATTCTGCCATATCCTCTCCCAAGCCGCCTTCATAAAATCCACACTGCCTTTTCTCTGAAAATTAGTAATATTGATCTGAACTTTAAAGGACCACTACTCGTTTTCCTGGCACTATAGTGCCCTGAGGGTGCCCCCACCCTCAGGGTCCCCCTCCCTCTGGGGAGAGGAAAGGGTTAAAACTTACCTTTTTTCCAGCGCCGGGTGGGGAGCTCTCCTCCTCCTCTCCGCCTCTTCTCATCCCCTTCGGCTGAATGCGCACGGGCGGCAGGAGCTGCGCGCGCATTCAGCCGGTCTCATAGGAAAGCATTTACAATGCTTTCCTATGGATCACAGTGAGAATCACGCAAACGCCTCTAGCGGCTGTCAATGAGACAGCCACTAGAGGATTTGGAGGCTGGATTAACCCTATTATAAACATAGCAGTTTCTCTGAAACTGCTATGTTTATATAAAAAAAAAAGGGTTAATCCTAGAGGGACCTGGCACCCAGATCACTTCATTAAGCTGAAGTGGTCTGGGTGCCTAGAGTGGTCCTTTAATAATTGTTTAAGTAAACACTTTTTCTTTTTGCATTAAACATGCTCATTGAGGGTAAAAGTAAACACTTTTTCTTTTTGCATTAAACATGCTCATTGAGGGTAAAAGGTATTTGATAATTAGCATTTGTCTATTTTATC